TGGGACTCGAACCTGGGTCTTCTGCAAGAGTTACCATTGCTCTTAACGGCTGAGCCATCTCTCTGGTCCCCCATTATTGTTTATTTTTTAAAAAATATTTTATTTATTATTATTTTTATTTTATGTGTATGAGTGCATTACCTGCATATATGTAAGTGTACCTGTGTTGTGCAATGCCCGTGGAGCTCAGGAGAGGATATTGGATCCTCTGGAACAGATGGTTGTTAGCCACCATGTGGATGTTAGGATTTGAACCTGGGTCCTTTGCAAGAGCAGTCAGTGCTCTTAACCACTGAGCTATCTCTCCAGCCCCTCCATGATTGTTTTTTAAATATAACATTTTTATTTTTTGAGAATTTCATACACAGTATTGTATTCGCATTATCTGTGTTCCTCGCAGTCTCCCTCCAATTCCTCCTATGCTCCCCTCCCCTCCCTCACAATTCTGTGTCCTCTTCTTTGACTATGGTGGTTACATACACATACACACATTTATAAACAAACAAACATATATACATATAATGCACTGAGTCCATTTAGTGGTGCTCGTGTGTGCGTGTGCTCTGGCTGTCCACTTGCCATTAGATAAGCTCTCATGGAACTACTTTACATTATTATTGGAAAGTTTAGCAAGGTCTGTAGTCTTTGCGTATGTATATAGGAACACACGTATGTGTGGACGTGCACGTGCATGCATGTGTGTGCAGGCATGTGGAGGCCCAAAGTTGACGTGGAGTGTTTCTTAATTACGCTCCACTTTATTTTCGGAGGCAGAATGTATTGCTGAACTTGGCGCTTGCTGATTCTGGATAGTCTAGCTAGCCAGTTTGCCCCAAGCAATCCTGACTGTCTTCTGAGCACTGGGATTACAGGTAGCTGCCGCCTGCCCAGCATTTACATGGGTTCTGGGGATCCTGACTTCCATTCTTTCACTTGGGCTGCAAGGGTTTTATGTACTGAATAGTCTCCCCAGCCCCTCTGTGGTGTTTTGGATTTGTAACCATTGTCAGTACAGTAGCCTTTTAAAGATTTATTATTATGATTATTTTTTAATTATGTGTGTGTGTCTGTGTATGTGTGTGTGTGTCTGTGTGTGTGTCTGTATGGGTATGTGCAGGTTACTCTGGTGCTGGAGAGACAGGCAGTTGTGAGCCTCCGATATGGGTGCTGAGAGCTGAACTTGGGTCCTCTGGAAGAGCAGTACATGCTCTTAACCACTGAGATATCTCTCTAGTCCCTTAGTAGCTCTTTAAAATATATTTTATTTATTATTTTAATTTTATGTGTATGAGTGTATTGCCTGCGTGTATGTAAGTGTACCTGTGTCTTGCAATGCTCATGGCGGTCAGAAAAAGGCATTGGATCCCCTGGAACTGGAGTTACAAATGGCTGTTAGCCACCATGTGGGTGCTGGGAACTGAACCCAGGTCCCCTGCAAGAGCAGCCAGTGCTCTTAACTGCTCTGCCGTCTCTCTAGTACTTCCCTCCAGTAGCCTTTTAGAGGAGTTGGGGATTCCCTATGTGTGCAAAGGCCCTGAGGCAGGAAAGCAGGTGAACCTGAGAAGCCTGTGTGGCTGGTCACAGAGAGGCTCTGGCTTTGCTTATGGAAAGAAGCCTACCAAAGGGCCCTGTAGGTCATGGTGAGAAGAGTGGACTTGCACTTGAGGGCAAATAGAAAGCCTTAGAGGGTTTCAACAGCAGTGCCACAGTCAAGTGTGCTGCTTAGGAGAGTTCTCAGGCTGTATAAGTGGCAAGCCTGTGGGCCAGAGGCCAAGTGACCAGACCTGGGGTTTCAATATCCCCTTTGTATGGAATGCAGCTGAGCAGTCACAGAGTAGACCTTATCCTCCAATTTCCCATCGAGGTTGTGTTTCCAGAGTCAGAGTTTCATGTTACACAGAGTTATTCTTTCTGGAATGCGGCCCCCAAGCAACCCCTGCCGGACCCTCCATGGAAGGAGGGGTCTTGGGAACTCAAGATGCACATGTATGCAAAAAAAGGTCCACATCCTGCCCCAGGCTTGGCAGTGTCTGTCCCAACAGGCAAAGCAGCATCTGCTGCTGTTGTTTTTGTTACTAAGCTTTGCTGATGGCTTACTGTATGTTCCAGTGAAGCCTCTGACATTCATGACCTCACAGAACCCTAATGTGAACCTGTGAGCTGGCCGACATCATTGCCCAGTACGTAGACAAGGAAGGACAGGTTCCCAGGGAGCAGCGCTTGGCCCAAGGTCATTGCCTCTACACTGGCACCTCTGGGTACCAAGCAGCCTCGCGCGCGCGCGTGTGTGTGTGTGTGTGTGTGTGTGTGTGTGTGTGTACCATTGTGTTTTCGAGCTTGCCTAAGTCCAGACAGCCCCAAAATTCCAATTGTACAGAAAAGCCGGAAAATTCCATTTGTACATCCCAACGGCACTTCCACTCTGGCCCACAGGATCTGCCCAGCAGAATTCTCCTCCCTAGAAGAGTCAGGTTTTTCCAAATCCAGGACAAGTCTCCAAGACCTGACCTCCCCCCATCCCACCCCCAACACGGCTTCTTGCTGGCCTGGTCTCCTCTGCCTCCCTCCCCTTTGCTCCTTGTGTGGCTTTGCCTTGCCAAACCTTTTGGACTTATTTCAACTTCTTGGGCTTGGCTCGGCTGCTCCCTCAGCCTGCAGTGCTTGACTCCTTCCTTGACTTAACTCACTTCTAGGTATCCTTTGTATCTCCTTGTAAATGTCACTTCCTCCTGGAAGCCTTCCTTGGCATCCTGACCAGGGCAACCTCAGCTGTGTTCTCAGCCACCCTTGTCTCTCCTTCATGGTGTTAAGTGGGTTATATGTCTCCTTCACCCTCTCTCTGTTCCCTCACAGTCTCGGGGAATAACACAGGAATGATGGGGAAGGAGTGATGGTA